ATAATAAAAATATTTATTCGGTTTTGAATTAAAACTGGTCAATTTAAAGTCGCTAATTTCGCATTGTGTTGTGGGGGTGGCGTTGAATTTTGTCACTCCTAGGCGCCGATAAAGCTGTTACTCACACACTGTACCGAAAGAAGCTCCATATATTACACACACACTGATGGTGTATAGATATTTATATAAATAGCCGCAAAAATTGACAACACAAAAAAGTGGGCCGTGTGAGGCGACGATTATATTCACAAAAAAATGGTCAGCTTTGCGTATGGACAAGGGTGTGGGCTAGAGCCCACATTAACGACCAACCTAGTGTCAACTAGACCACGGCGGGACGCGTATTGTCTTGACCATTTTGGTTGACCTCACTAACCCACTCGCTACAATAGGACCAGACTTGCTTGACTCAAAACTTCTTAATCATGTAACGAGATTTTCGTTTTTTCTTTTCTTTTATTTTTTTTTTATTTTTAATTTTTATAATCTCTTTTCTACAAGAATATAAACAGATATTTGTTCTTACAACTCATGTCTGATAATAGTGATAGGATTATATTGTTTTTTTAGTAGAATATATATATATATATATATTGAACACCAAATAGAGAAAATAGAAATCAAAGGGAAGGAAATACATAATCAGAAAGAAGAATATTTAACAACCATATAGACCATACACCTCATTCTAAATCGCCACATGTGACTTTAAAAGCATGTTTGCTTAACAAATGAGCAACCATATTACCTCTATGAGGAGTCCAAAGACTCCAAACTAAGGACGAACCCTCACAGTCCTTAATCAAAGAGAGAATATCATTAAAAATTACATTAAGTGTATCATCAGCAGCCTCCAATCTCATAACAGGTCTGTAGTCACCTTCAACAACCACCTTGTGATATCCCCACTGCCGAAGCTGAAAAAGAGCCTCATGAAGAACCAACCCCTCTGCCATGGAAAGGCTAATCACATGTTCAAGGAAAATGGAGGCAACCTTAACAGGACGGCCGGAATGATCACGAAGAATCATTCCGCCACCACACACGCGACGGGAAAGACAGAACGAAGCATCAAAATTAAGCTTAAAACATTGGAAATCCAGAATTGACCATCGAATAACAGGCGGAGATAAAATCGGCAAAGGCGACAGGAACATCCGACGAGAAAGACGAGCATGCTCTTGAAATTCCTAAAAAGCATGAAAGGCCAGTAAACTAGAGTATTACGGACATTTTAATTAATTAAGTACATGATATTATATAAATCCGTGTAGGTTAGTTAATTTTTACAGAAGGGAGGTTCATGTACGTTAATTTTATTTTTAAGGAGAGATTCGAATAATTTTTTAAATTATAAGAGAGGTCCCTATAATTATGATAAATTATAAAAGAGGTTCTTATAATTCACCTTTTACATTACAATTATATATGAATTCCATGGTCGGCACACATATATCTGAGAGTTTAAAGACTCTAAACACATTTGTATATATATATTTGCAGTACTCTTGCTTTCACATTTTCCTTCTCTTTCATAATTACTAAGAACTGAACTGTATAACAAGTAGCACACGCATCATGGGTGGGGTCGAAAGAACACATCTTTTCAATGGCGGTGCCGAAAAGTGAAAGGATTACAGCGATGTAATCAATTGTATGTGGAAATAAGAGCTCATTTTTGCTTTTTGATTAATCAAATCAACCTAATTTTGAACGAATTTGGCATTTATTTAATTAAATTATTTGATAATATAATTTAAATATTATTGAAAATAGTTAGACTTTATTTAAAATAAAGTAAAATTTTAAATGACATATAGATTACTTACTAAATACTAAAAATTTAAAAATATTGCAAAAGTATGTATTTTTTAATTACTAATACTTCAGCTATTAAAATTTTTAAAACTTAATTTTCAATTTGGTCAAATAGTACATTCGTCACCAAATGCTTACCCAGTTGAGGCCGATCCGCTCAACTGATAAGGTTTTTGTGGTAGTAGCTTAACTTGACTTCTTGATGTGAGACTTACCAAAAGTAAAAACGATGGCATACATTTAAAGATCGAATTTAAAGTGATTAGTGAATGAATTGATTTTTTGTTATTAAAAAAAATATATATCAAAATGCTTTCCTTCTCAATCATTGGATGAAGGCACTAAATGTGTAATGTAGCGGTGGTCTTCCCTCATTTTAAAAATAAAGGATTCTTGAACTTGGCGCGACGTTATGACTTTTAGTAACAGTTCAAAACAAAAGATAGTGGAGTCGTGGTGTGTAACCTGATAAATATTATACATTAAGATTTAATTATGCGAATCTAGGTGTGGATTCGAATTTTTTGAAGAATATTTTGGTAATTTGTGCGCTTGTTATATTACCTGAGTACGAGGGTATTTATTTTTCTAGTTGGTACTTATACACACTTATCTCTTCTGAGATTTGAACCCCTAAATCTCCCTTAGAAAGTAAGAAATTGATACCACTAGGTAACTAGCCCATTGATAGTACGAGAATATTTATTCATTCTAAACTCCTTATATCGTGTGCTGTTTTGATCATCATAGTAAAATTTCTGCAACCATTAGACATAATTTTAATTTTGAATGAATCAAATAAAAATTCACGTGTTCTTGTTGTGTGTGATTGATATTTTTTTGCTTAATCTTATTTTTTATAAATTCTTGGATTGACATGAGAAAATGACTTTTTTCAAAGTAAAAAATAGAAGGTTCTTAGATGGACACCACAATACAATTTTTGATGACATTCCAAAGTAGAAGACAGAGGGTTCTTAAATTAAGGAGATATGATGACTTTGGGCAACATTACTCATGATGGGTAATAAAAGATTTGAGTAAATTACAATTTTCACGGGTTAGATGTGCAGACATAATTATTTCTTCTAGGATTCAAACTGAATGAATGCAGATGACGAGGATTAAAATATAATGAAATTGACAAAATTCCAAAAGAAGACATCTCCAATCCAAATGCCAATAGTACTAACTAATCTAATATATATATATTGTAAAATATGTACAAATATTATATCTACATGGCCATGAAAGCAAGCAAGCTCTTCTTGCACTACAATACATGATACATGTTTATAAATGCTTATACAAAAGGAGTCTCCTTAGACATGTCTCTATGGGAGTTCTGAATATCAGGTTTACATTTTCTTTAATTTCAATTTTAAAGTATTACTTTATACAATCGAACACATATAATATTATTTAGAGTTAAATATTAAATTAAATTATTGTCAAATTAGATTTTAATTAAGTTGAACCAAATTTAATTAATCCATGGTGTCAAAGCAAATATTTAAGTCAAAGAAAATTTAATTAGTTCAAGGACTACAGTGCGTTCTATGTAGACGTGTCACTGGACATGTCACTTTAATCAAAATATCTAATACATAGAATCATATTCAGTTTTCAAAAAAATAAAAATAAATAAATAAATAAAGAAGAAGATGGGATGATACATGTCAAAACAGAAGACTTATGAGAAGTATCCTTAAACATATTGAAGTTTCTGGTGAAATAGAGACTTATCTCTTAAGGAATAAATGGTAGTGTGTGACTGTGTGTGTGTAAATTACATAGTGTATTGTGCTAAGAACGACACGTTAACATTTTTGTTCTTCTAGAACAGGTTGACCAAAGTGTTCAAACTACTGATGCTTTTCACACTTGTTGGTTTCATTCACCTTTGATGTTGAAGCTCGTTTTGTCCGCCCACCACAGCGGATTTCCATGACTACACTTTGTTACATCCTCTAGAGATTTTCATACTTCTATATGTCTACACACACACACACACATATATATCAAAGCACAATCTGCCACTTTGAGAATCTCAATGAGGATGCCATTCAAACTCAGCAACTAGCTTCTGAAACAAGTATTCCTTTCTTCTATCTCATGTCTTCTTTATTCCTCTTTTTCCCCTCTCTCTCTTCCTTGCGACAGTTAAATCCATTTTTTATTCGTCATTGATCTATATCTGTCTCTATGTTTTACATATTTGCTATGTGTTTGTTTCTGGTGCATGCAGCTATCATATATACGTTTAATAGTGTCCTGTAAGTTTACAGGCTTCACACCACAAGTTTTCGGGACTACATACATGATCCTGGCCAATCACAAGTGGCACGTAAACAAAAAAACTTGAATAAAAGTGACACATTTGTTTGCGTGACAATATGTGATTGGCTCTACCTATGTGATGAGGAGTTTCGTAAGTGTGGGCCCCTAACCACTGTGTTGTGGTGGGACCTACTATCTCACGTTCGGCCTCCAAGTCTCAACATCCAATTCTTCAATAGGAGAATCGCGTTCTTTTGAAATTTTAAAAAAGTAACTAGGAGAGTCAACTCAATGAGTTCGTGCGTACCCTTGTAGAGTTCAGATGAAGAGATTAATTAAGTTCGCCTTTTCATTTAGGGTCCGTTTGGCAACCACTTCTACTTCATAATTTGCCTGTAACGAAGCAAAAACACAAAGCGTGTTTGGTAATGTGTGCTTCGATTGAAATAATACAGAGTGTTTCTAAAAAGCAGGCCAAAATTGGAGGCAAAAAATTGATGCTTCTGGATGCTTCAGCACTATAGCAAAAACACGGTTAAAAAAAAAAACACTCTGAAAGTGACATTTTTAACTAGTTATTTAATTTTTCAAACTTACAACACTTTTTTTATCAAACATGTTTTCCTTCCAAAAATCTTGCCATAAATATACGTTACCAAACGGGCTTCCAAATAGTATTGAACACACTTTAAAGCAGAAATATTACTTCTGTTTCGGATCAAAGCTAAACACAAAATAACTGTGGTTGTCAAATGGGCACTTAGCAACTATGATGATAGGCACTTCTCTTTGATAATTTGCATGACTACATGGTGTGAGCTTTGCTGCTGCTTTTTTCATTCGGATCTTCATGTCCCTAGCTTTATTCTAACACGACCAAATAAGCCAAAATGGATGTTTGAATGAGGCTGATATAGAGACATATTTAAGAATTAATTCCCTCGTTGGGTTGTTGAGCTTGATTGTGCTCTTGTCTTTCTTTTTTGGCCCCAATTCCAAGTCATGCGCCTGCAGATCAAGTGATCTAATAAGGAAATAGAACTAAGTTTTAATGTTGTATTGCATATAAGGGCTAGTCTAGTGTATGAGGCTAGCTCCTATCAGTGCATGATAGGTTGTTTCCTATTTCAACCCTCTAATCTTCAAGTCACAATGGAGTAGCTTGCACCAACATTAATTCGAACCCTCGTTAGGGGCATATCATGAAACCTTACAAAATAAACTCACAATCCAATTTGGTGATGCTTCAAGGTTCTTTGATGCTCCTCCATCCCGAGTGATAGATACGTGACTTTCATGAAATTTTGATTATATATGTTGAAATGAAATATACTTCATCACAAAAGCTTCTTTTGATTGTTAAAAACTTCCTGCGCGATACAACACAAAAATGATCAAACCAACATTTCTTGAAAACCCTTGAGAAAAAAGGTTTCTGAGCATAAAAAAGAAAATCACAATAGATATAAGATGATGTATCCCCCAAGTTAATTCATCGTTTACTAGTACTTCTCTATCGATCTCATGTGAACTTGGATCAACTACCATTTGGAGTGATCTTGGGTTCAAAATCTTCCCAATTCTTGGTAGGATCACAACTTGAAGAACTTCTAGAATCTGATGGAAGTCTTCTAATCTCTCCTCCTTGTTTTGGCCAATTATATGTTGATGCAGATGAAGATGTTGAAGACGAAGATGAAGACATAGACTGCGAAAGATATGATCCTCTATGGTAGATACCGGATGATATGGCATGATTCAAATTATGATCCCCACTAACTTTTGCATGATGAGGGAAATTAGGATATGTATTTTGATGCGGAAAGACTGGATGAGGAGGAGGAGGAGGAGGAGCAACCGAGTCAGCAGACAGTACTTGTTGAGCCATGACACGCGAGTCTTGACGAGTTGTTAGGTATCCCAACTCAGTTCTCCCTTGAACTCTTTCAGGGAAGTTGAGCTTAGCTTTGTTTCCTTTGAATCTAAGAGCTGCTTCATCATATGCAAGTGCTGCAGCCTCAGCTGTTTCGTAAGTGCCTAGCCAAACTCTTGCTGCTTTTTTAGGGTCTCGTATTTCGGCAGCCCACTTGCCCCATGGCCTTTGCCTTACCCCTCTATAGTGTCTTCTCCTTTGGTTCCCTTCACAATACACATATAGATTTCTTTATAATGTATGTAGCTTAATTTGACATATTACATGAAAATCATTGATGACAACGATGGCAACAATGAGTCTTTTTTTCCAACTATTTGGGTTCGGTTACATGAATCCTATAGCCTCAATCAAAGGCCATACATGATGGTTGTAAACTGCAAAAACATGAATATAGCAAATACCACATACCACTTCCTGGATTGAATCAGAATGACGAATGAAGAGCCAAAATATAAAAGATATATAGTGTGAACTAAATTTTTTTTTTTTGGGTGTGCGCGCGCGCGTTAGGTATAGTGTGAACTAGCTAGTTGATTTCATGTTATTATTTATTAGCTTTACTTGTTTTCATGTTGTTTTCATATTCTTCTTTCAGGAAGAGAGAGAGAGAGAGTTCCCATGCTTAAGCAGGCATGCAGAATCAAACCATTGTAGAGATCCATATATACACACAAAGGTTCCATATATATACACAAAGGTTGCACTTGGCTATTCAGGAAAATTTTGGAAATTAATAAATCAATTGTGCTTAGATCATTTCATTAAATTAGAGAAAAAAGAACCATATATAGCAAAAATGTCTATTAAAACACTACACTTTTCCTGCAAAATCAACCACATAGTTAGTTGACCAAATACAACATCCTAGTTAGCTTGAAATAGAAGTGGTGGTCATCAACATGTTCAAGTCCTAACCTTTTTTTTTTTTTTTAGGGTAAATGAAAGATTACTTGAAATTGTTCAAGTCTAACTTGTCCACATAATATATATTAATTTATAAACAAGATTATCTAATAATAGTATGATACATGTATGTATTTATGTTACCTTGATCTTGAATATTGGGTTGATCCTGATCAGGATGCACAGTTGCACCGGGCTGGGGTATGCATATGGCTAGTGAGCTTCCTGGTGCAGGCACGTTAGTGTTTCCAATAACTCGAGTGAGTGCTGAAACCATGGCCGACATGTCTTGTTGGGATCTAGCTGAGTAGACAGGAAAGATGTTAGTGTGTTCTTCTTCTTCTTCTTCTTCTTCTTCTTTTTTCTCTGATGAATCATCAGATGAAAGGGGCCTCTTCCCATACCTGTTTGGATCCACTTTATGACCTTAATTTCTTACAAACTTTTATATAGTTATAAATATATACTTAATATATGAATTTGTAAAAGTAGTTTACTTCATTGAATCTATATATGGTGGGTGTGAAACATGAGGGTTGTTACGGTTGTCTATACGGATCAAAAAATTCAACACCAAGAAGAGATGATTCAGCTGAAAATGAAGATGTGGAGGAGGTGAAAGAGGGAAATAGGGTTTTGCAATCGCTTGCTACATATACGGACTTTTATATCCCTAGCTTGCTTGTTAATACTCAAGTGTGAACAGAACTAATGAACAGCGTTTGGTAATATATATATTTTCAAAAGTAGAATTATTAAATTGGAAGGTAACACTGTACAGAGAAGGGATAAGAATCAGTAGAATCATTAGGAATCGGAACCGGTGCTTCGGTTCCGATTCCTAACGTTTCTAGTTTCAAAATTTTGCAACCGTTGAGAATAGTTTCAGTTCCAGACAATAGAATCTGAATCGTATTAATAATTATATATATATATATATATATTATTGAAACGGAAATTAGCTCGATCCGGGAAGGCACCGCTTCCTTACAAAGAAAAGAGAAGAATATTGATTAACTTTGACTGATACCGATATAGTGCCTGCCAAGGACTCTTTGACGATCAAGTCAGTCAATGGAGCTCCTAATTAATGGCAGTAATTTTTAGGTATCTATTGTCTCATACCTGTTTGGTTGGCTATACTTGTTTTTATATCTGATCGCTATATTGGTTTGTCGCGAGTGTTGTGATTCGAGAAAATCTGTTGTGGATTTGAACTTCCTTGGTTATATTTGACGTAACTGAAAGATCTATTTGAAATTAAAACGCTTCACCTTATTTGCTGACTATTCGTCTGTTGCGCTACTTTATTCTAAATTCCCCTATCAGTTGCCCCCCATTCCCAAGCTTGCTCGTCTAGCTTTGGGAATATCAGACACTAATATATATATTTTTACCCCGTGTCACTATTCCTGCGACATTTCACAATTTTTTTTTTTTGGTATATATTTGATTTTTCAGATTATTTTTTTGTCACCTTGTTTTGCGTGTCACGCACAGGTTAGCATGTCACGAAGGTTCCAAGAGTGGTTTGGGATATTTCCTTGAATTTAGAACTCTTGGAAATGTATTTTGAGTCATTTTGGACTTTTTTTGATTTTTTATTCGAGAGGTCCTGTGTGGACCTCACGCCCGGATTTTACGTGCACGGGTAATCTTGTTGGGTCCATGTGCATTTCATATCTATTACTTGATGCATATTTATATGTGTATGTGTTTAGATGTGTAATTATAGCATGTTGTGGTGTATGTAAGCAAAAAGGGGCATTTTAGACATTTCATGGGTGAAGGTGAACCAAGGTTGACCAAACCATTTCATTTAGGCTACTAACTCAAATTTTTTTTTGGCCATTCTTCCTCTCCACCAGCCGAGCTTCAAGCCTAGATTTTATCTTTTCATCTAAGATTTTGCCTTTAATGTAGAAGGCAATCTTGTAGAACTTGACGAGAGATTCAAGGTGATCGAAGTCAATTTCCATTTGGGTGACATTGGGATATTCAAAAATTGGGGATTTTTAAAGCTTGTCTTATCTCTTTGAGGTAGGGGTTTCTAAAACCCACAATCTTTGATTTTGGTGAATCAATTCCTTGTAATTGTGCTTGACATATATAATTTTTGAATACGAAGCATGATAGTCAGGGTTGTTATTGTAAATGATAATATACATGTTCTATGTGCCAAAATGTGTTGAATTACATGCTTATGTGAACTGTTGTGAGATTATGTATATGACTGATATTGTTATATGATTGGTGTGAGATATTATTTATTTTTGGCAATTATCGTAGACATAACGAGTCCAAGTTAAGTTATAATTTACATTACTTGTTCTACAAGTCATCAAGTTCAACAAGGATTCCACAATTGGGAAGGAGTTCAAACTAACCATACTTGAAGAGTTTGTGATGAAAAGGGTAAGGACACTACATTAGGAAAGAATATGAACAAGGTTGGACATTATACACTTTCCATGTTAGTCTATAATTTCCGTAGAATGAACCAAGGCTGGAAGAATTCGAAATATTCAAGTCTGCCAACCTTGAACCAGTTCAGCTTCCTTGAACCGGCTCAAGATATTCAAGTTTGATACACTGCCAAACTTGAACAGGTTCAGCTTCCTTGAACCAGTTCAAGAACTCCTGTTTGCAATACAACTTCAGTTTCCTTATTCTGAATTGTTTCCAAGTTGGTCTAGAATTGTACCAAATCCTATGCACGAAATTTACCTTATTTTCAGAGGGATTAGGTCATTCTATACTCTATATAAACCATGTCACATACATTGGTTTATTCACGGCTTTTACATTATAACTCAGATATTATTCAAAGCCTTAGGAAGTTTATTTCTCTTAGAAAATCAAAGTTGATTATTCTGTTTTCTTCCTAGAACATACACTTATTCACCTAGTTAGGTTAGAGTTGTAGTGTTCAATTCCTGATCGTGATCATACAGTCGTATTAACATCAATCAGACAAAGCAGATCTTCTTCTACATCATTCAGACGATTGAAGAACAGAAGTAAACGCAGTCACACTTTAGAAGGATTAGAGCATTTGTGGAGTGCCATCTAATCTACCTACTATTCTACTACAAATATCAAGTGTAAGCTTGAGATCAAGTTGCTGTTGGATGGGGAGTCGCAAAGCCAAAAGATCGTCAGTAGTTGGTGTGATGTAGAACGATAGGGTGTGAGCCAGAGTCAAAGTTTGCTATACTTTGTTTCAAGCATAGTGGATTGCTTTACTTTGGACTGCACAAGTCCACGAGGTTTTTCCCATTACAGTTGACGTATTTTATCAACTGGGGTTTCCTCGCTAAAATCCTTGTGTCATCTCTAACTTTATACTTTGCTTTATTTTATTGCATACAATTAATTGTTTATCTTCTAAAATAAGTAAAGTTGGTAACGACACAGATCTGTCTTTCAAAACTTAAAACTTTTCTATATACATTCCACTGCGTACAACTCACAATTGGTATGTCAAGAATGCAATAATTAAGATGTTGATTGTATGCAAGTTATTGCTAAAGCATGTGAGCTTGATTATATTTAAATTATGAGCTTAATATTGACATGATGATAAAATGTTTGATACATTCATATCATTGGCATTAGGTGAGTGTGGGAGTTGTTTTTGAAAAGGGAAATTGATTTTAAAATGTTTTAAAAGAAAGTTTGCGAAAACCGAACGGTAAGGAGTCGTCTTGTGTCTGTGGGGTTAATAGAACCTAGAGGGAACATAGGAAGACTGCCCTATGCATGGTCGAGTTACCTAGGCCTCAAATAACGTTAAGGAGTTGCCTTAGGTCAGGGATAGTTAGCCAATTGTTCTCTAGTTGCACTAGGAAGTCATCTCGGGCCGGGTTATATTAAGGGTTTGATGGTTGTTGTGTTGTGTCAGGATTTTTGAAAAATGGGCTGGACATTTGTATTGCATATCAATGCATTGATTATATGTGGATTGTATAATGATGATCATATTGCTCATTTCCCCCAAAATTGAGTATGACCCCCTTTTCTTATGTTCAGTCTTTGTATGTGACTCACGGGATCATTAAGGAGTGCGTTTTAGGCACCTCCTACTGAGCCGTTGTGCTCACCCCTTTATTAAGGTTGTTTCATACATGCTATGAGTTGGGACAGGGACTTTAAGGTCACAATGACCAAAAGGAGGTTCGGGATCAGTTTCGGAGACAAAAAGGGGCAAGAGCCCTATTTTTTGGGACCCCCGAGCACTCGGAGTAGGGGTCTGAGTGCTTGGTAAACACTAGGGCTACCCCTGCGTGCGCGCAATGGGGTGCTTGTGGGTTTGCTCTGAGCGCTCACAATTAGAGAGTTGCCATTGTTATTTATTTATTTTTTTTACCTCCTTTGTTGGGTCCAAGCTCCACTGTATGGGTCCTACATGTCCTTTAGGATGTATAGAACACTATGGATGCGTTCGGATATGAGTAGGATGGTCCAAAATATGAACAGAACTAATGAACAGTGTTTGGTAATATATATATATATATATATATATATATATATATATATATATATATATATATTTTCAAAAGTAGAATTATTAAATTAGAAGGTAAAACTATAAAGAGAAGGGATACGGCTAGCTAGTCTGGAAGGCCAGAAGCCGAAACAAGCTTAACAAACAGCCAAAAAGAGAACAACAAAAACACGTTCAAGTTCCATGACCTTTAACTAATTTCATTATATTGCTACTGTAAACCAATATATATATATATATATATATATATAACACTATGGATGTATAGAACACTATGGATGCGTTCGGATATGAGTAGGATGGTCCAAAATGTGAACAGAACTAATGAACAGTGTTTGGTAATATATATATATATATATATATATATATATATATATATTTTCAAAAGTATAATTATTAAATTAGAAGGTAAAACTATAAAGAGAAGGGATACGGCTAGCTAGTCTGGAAGGCCAGAAGCCGAAACAAGCTTAACAAACAGCCAAAAAGAGAACAACAAAAACACGTTCAAGTTCCATGACCTTTAACTAATTTCATTATATTGCTACTGTAAACCAATATATATATATATATATATATATATATATATATATATAAGCTGTTTGGGTTGGTTATATTATATAGGGGTGCAAAAAGAATCGGTGAAACCGTTAGGAATTGGAATCAGTACTTCGGTTCCGATTCCTAACATTTCCGGTTCTTGTTCCAGGCTCTAGAATCAAAATCATACTAATAATTTTATATATATATATATATATATATATATATATATATATATATATTTATTTATTTATATATTTCGATAATTATATATATTTGCAAAGAAAAGAGAAGAATATCGATTAACTTTGACTGACACCGGTGTGGTGCCGGCCAAGAGCTCTCCGACGATCAGGTCAGTCAAAGAAACTCCTAATTAATGGTAGTAATTTTTAGGTATCTATTGTCTTATACCTGTTTTTATATCTGATCGCTATATTGGTTTGTCGCGTGTGTCGTGATCCGAGGAGATCTGTTGTGGATTTGAACTTCCTTGGTTATATTTGATGTAAATGAAAGATCTCTTTGAAATTCAAATGCTTCACCTTATTTGCTGACTATCCATTCGTTGCGCTACTTTATTCTAAATTC